AGAGTCAGAGGTTCCAGGCGAACTTCGAGGAGGAGGCCAGGCAGAAGGAGGAACAGAAGCAGCTGGCAGCCTCCCTACAAGATCGCTGCAATTCCCTGATGAAGCAGTTCGAGTCTTTGAGCTCCTCTCGCGCAAAAAAGTAACAGGCTCGACCTGGTTCTGTTTGGCCATGTCGATGTTCAAGTTGAGAAGCTTTGACCTTTGGAACCTGCCCATTTTGATATTTTAACAGGACAAGATGTTGTTTCCAAGCGTGAGACCAAGGCCAGACCTGTCAGAATCTCACCATGGATTCGCAGCAGAAGGCCGGACTGGAAGGCCGGGATGCTGCTGCCCAGTTGCGGCAAGTTGCTCTCTCAACAAGCCGGGGAATGGATTTTTCAGGTACCTGGAGTCTCCATGACCCCTTTAAAAATGATAGCGGGACGCTGGGAGTGTGCGCTTTTTCACTTTTTGAGTGGACACTCGAGTTGAACAATGTTTGCATAATGTGTTTTTAAATGTCAGCTGAATTGTGAAGAAATTCGGTTGGAAAGAACATACTGTGTAAACTATCAACTAAAATGGACTTATTTTCATTCAAATTCCATTACGAAACAGAAGCTGTGATTGGATTCCTTCCTTATCAAATTGCTTTTAAACTTTAATTGAATCGCAATGTTCTATTGGGAAAGGATGTACATCTAACTTCTAAATGTAAGATGTAATTCCCAGTAGGATTCTGATCAAGTATGTTCTTGTTGAGCCCTATTGAAACCCTATTCAAATTCAAAGTGAATGTAGAGAGTGGCCGTTGGTGGAGATGTGAATTGAGTACGAAAAACGCTACAAAACACTGTGTTTTGCGGTGTTGTCTGACCAATGTAGTTCTGGGGCTAGTAAACACACGAGAAATCTACTTAAAATCTTTACCAAATTCTACCCAATGCCTAATTGCAATTAACTAGAAATGTTTAAGGAAAGACTCCAATCAAAGTGTATATTTTAAATTAGACTTTCAATTATGATTAATGTATTTCAACATAAATGTTACACGGGAATTCCTTTTCCAATAGAATTGTCCTTACAAATCAGTAAGCATCTAAACAACATGTATTAAACATGGTCGCAATCTCCAAGTTCTTCCTTCCGGATTCTACTCAATGTATTTATCAAGTTCTACTTAATTCCTATCTCACATTTAAATATAATTCAATAATGAAAGAATCCAAACTTAAGTTTTTGTTTAAAATTGAACTTAGATAATGTTTTTTCTATTGCAAAATGGATGCTACACAGGATTTCCTGTCCAATAGTATTGTCTTTGCAGACCAGTAGGCATTTGAGCAGCTTAACTAATTTGGGATCTTTCTAATAAACTCATTTTCCTATTTATCTTGTTCTGCTTGTATAGTTCTAAGCAAAATTAAGAAGATGTAATAAGGAACGTCCAACCAGAGGAAACCATGTCTAGCTCACTGCACTAGGGCTTGGATGTGGACTACACCAGCGCGCTTGATCACAGAAGCTTTTGCAAACAGGCCGGAAACGGACAAGTACAACAAACAACTCCACTTCTAAGATCTTCTAAGACAAGTGGTTCATTGGAAGGCCACAGCCCGAATCGGTGCTGAGTGTTGGGTTGACGGGGGGGTTTGCCCGGACTTTCATGGTGCCCCATGCGTGCCGATCCTCAGCGCTGTCGAGGGGGGGCCGGGCGGGGGGGAGGGGGGAACCGGGGGGGGGGGGGTGGAAAGAACACGGGTCGATGTTTCCAGCATGCCAAGGCCAACTCATGCCTCAAACTAGTCGATCCCGAGCCCCGAGCCCTACACGCCATGTGACTTCTCCGCTATCTGCGCGCTGCGCAGTCCCATTTGCTTCTCTGATGCGCTGCCAGTTTGCAGCAGGTGGTTTTTGACACCTGGTGTCCAAGAGGGCTTGGGGTCTTCTTGCGTTTGAAGGAGCTACCTTCCCGCACGCTGGTCTTTGTCTCCGCTGCTCTCACGGTGCCGAGCAGGAACGGAAGTTCTGCCAGCGAGTTATGAGCGCAGCTCATGGCTTGTCTGCATATACAAGGCGCCCCGCCTGGACAGCTGCATGAAAGTGTTGGTGGCATTCTGAAGGTCTCTCTCAGTGAGAGCCACAGTCCTGAAGCCTGCTTCGAGCAAATGAAAATGCCGCGCTTGCCAGCACCGCGTATTCCACAACTCCCAACCCACGTCCAAGAGTGACCGTCATTTGGTCCGGGCAAACCCCCCCTGGCAACCCTGAGTGTTGCACATAGATCACTTGGTCACTCCTCAAGGTGTAGATTTCCCGTAGGGGGTGGGGAATCCTTGGCCCGGAGCAGGGGCCGAACGATCAACCGGGCCAGCAGTGCTCCTTTTTGCCAGAGAGGGAGGGAGGGAGGGAGGGAGGGAGGGAGGGAGGGAGGGAGGGAGGGAGGGAGGGAGGGAGGGAGGGAGGGAGGGAGGGAGGGAGGGAGAGGGAGGGAGGGAGGGAGGAGGGAGGGAGAGGGAGAGGGAGAGGGAGAGGGAGAGGATCAATCAGGCCAAGTGAACGAGCTGCTGCGCATGAACGCGCAATGGCAGCACGCCCACCAGAGCCTCAACGCGGAGTCTGAGACTTTGCGCCAGAAGCTCCAGCAGGTTGAGCAGTTGCAATTGGAGGCGCCGCTTCCACACCAGTCCACATGTTGCGGCTTGTAGTTTGTTTGTTTTGTTCTGTCTCGGGTTTAGCGGTAAACTCAACAATGCCCACTAAAAGTTGACACATCTTAGCAGGCGATACAGAGTGTTCATAGATGTTCATTTTCGGCGGTTTCAAGCATCATCATTTGGGCCCATTTGAAGTGAGTTGTCTTTGGGCGGAGTGATGTTCTAAGGGGAGAGATAGGGAGCTCTGTGCATGTTTGGAATATTTTGTTGGATTCTTCTTGGAGTGTCGATCTTGAGGCCAGGAATCTGGTGGTAACGGGGCAACCCTCAAAGAGTGAAGGTGCCCTCAAATGGGACATCCCCCCTGCTAGTGAACCAGGGGGTATCGAGCTGATTGATCCTGGGATTTCAAAACTTAGACAGATGCATACACATGCATGCATGCATGGACACATGCACGCATTCATATAAAGATATACATTGTTCGGCATATGTTCTCTTCATGTAGCCAACCCCGCATTTGCCTAGGCACCTCACCTGCCAATGCGATTTGAGCTTTCGCCCCGTCCCTTCGGTTTCCCACTTTTGTTTCATGGCCCACACCTTCTATTTTCGAGCCCTTCAGCCATGAGCAGTTCAACAACTCTCTGTCTTGGGAGAGGCGCATGAAGGAAGGGATGTGAAGGAATGGGTGTCAGCGCAAAGCAAGCAGAGAGAGAGAGAGAGGGGGAGCGAATGAGGAAGTCGGAGGTTTCCAAGAAGTGAATGGATGATCTCTATTGGTGCAAGATGTGATCTTAAGGCGAGCCTGTGTTGCATATGTTTCGCGAGAAGAGGGTCAAAACTCCAGACTGCATCGTTGCCTTATGGATCCTTTCCTTGAAGCTGATCATGCGAAGTGCTGGTTCAACCCGGGATCAACCATGCTGTCCTTGGCCTGCTACGTGGTTGTGGCCTCCAAGAACAAGGTTCCTTAAATTATAGATTTCGGCCAATCGGGGATTGGAGGGTCCACTTGGCCATGGGCCTCCATTTTGGGGCGGATGAACACCCATGTACCACCTATTTTGATTTTGACCCACAGCCACTGGATGGATGCTGGGTGTATCTAAGGATCCCTGGGCAAAGGACCAGACAACCCCCCTTTGTAAAACGCTCTCGGCCAGCAAGAGCCTGGCTGAAAGGGGCAGAAGAGCCTTACCCTGTTCTGAAGGAATCCACTTTGGGGAGTCACCCCCGTACTGAGGGCAAGTTGTAGCATGTTGGCATTTCCCATCTGGCTTTGCAGGGAAGCCAAAGGGAAACCCTGAAGGACGCCTTGAGAGGCATTGATGGTCCAGTTGAGTTCTCGCTCCGCCTCGCAGGTAAGGCGGCTGCAGCCCTTGGCGCAGCAGAGTTTGGAGCTGGAGATGCGGCTCAGGGAGGCGGAGCAGAGCCGAATCCCCGGATTGGAGGGGAGGAAATGGATTTGTTTTTCCCGGCGGGGGTTTTCGCTCTTCAGTTTCACGTTTGTGAAAGGACAATTGTGGGTTTATCCCCACCCGCTCACCCTAAAAATGGGAATTGGGGGCTTTTTAAACTCCAGGCTTTGATTCTGATTCGCTTGCTTGAGGCTTGGACCAGCACCGGGACGCGCTATCCCAAGCCCAGCAGCCGCTCGGACCAGCCGTCAAGCCTGGGTGAACCAAGATCCGATGGTGGCAGATGGTGGGTTCCCGTGTGGTGTTTCGTAGGTCCGGATTGGGACCACCTTTCATTCCAAGTCAAAAGCAAAGCCGAGGGCTAGTACTCTTGTTTCCCAAGGTTTTTGTAGGTGTTTGCGTGGCGACTTTGCTTTGTTTGTTTTGTCTCGGGCCTGGGCCAGCGAAAGAGCTGCGAAAATCATAAAAAGATGGCTGAAAGACATGATGCAGGGCAACTTCGGCGATACTACCCCCAATTGTCCGACTTATGCTTGTTTCAGAGTTTTACATTGTTGGTTCATTTCATTTCATTTGTCAACCAGCAAGCGAAGAAGCTTTTGTAGGGGATAAGGTCTGATCCAGAGGTCCTGGAAGCCAGGATGCGAAGTGGCTTGCAAGCGGGTGGACCAAAACTGCGAGCCATGGGTCATGGGCAAACAGTGCCGTGGCCTGTGGACGGACGAAATCCTCACCAGTTGGTAGGTCGTTTAGCCAAGGTCTTTCATAAGGGTTCATCCATCCCAGCTGGTGGATGTTGTCCGCACACGCTAGGAAGAGGCAGCTAAAGCAGTGATAGGAATGATCCCATTGGGGTCATTTCTCATCTCGGCCCGAAAGCTCCCTCACGGTCAGCTGAAGACATTGCGGTCAAAACCTGGGGTCTGAAGATTTGAACTTGTCGCTCTGCGAGCCGTTTGGAGCCAATGTCATTTGGAATCGACCCATTGCTCCAACTTGAGTCCGCCACAAGCAGCACCTTCTGGTAGACAGCGCATATGTGCACCCAGGCACCAAAGACAAAACTGATGGTCCCATATTGAAGCAATGGTCATTTGGGGTTCTTTTGGCGATTGGTTGCCACAACTAAGCCAAACGTAGGTTAGCTAGACGATAAACACAAAGAAGCTCGATACTTGCTGCTGCTCAGCAGGGAATGAGGAAATGACCCCTGTAGACTATCCATTGCACAGCTTCATTCCCTCATTCCCTGCTGAACCCCCGCAAGTCTATTCAGCATTTGACACACAATTTGCTGATTTGGTTTGGCTGAGGCTTCGCGCCCAAGAGAACTCGACAGTCCAGCGGCTACAGGCAGAGCTGGATTCCCTGCAGGAGACCTCCAAGGGCTCGGGGGAGTTTCAGGGCTCAGGGGGGGCGCTAGACAATGACCGGGTAATTCTCTTTGAACATTGCGTAATCGCGTGATTTGATTGACTCACACCCCACAACCAAAATTCGGGTTTATTCCCAGTGTCCCACGCAGATGCCATCCAGACAGGTACGGTACCACTGGGAATTCATTCATTTTCACAGGAGCCCCTGGAACCTCAGGGGAACCGCTACCGCTCAATTGGAACGCTATGGGGAAGTTCAGGGACGGCCGAACCACTCATGAGCAAGAAGTAGTTTCCTTATATTAACGTAAGGAACCCCAAACCCGAAGGACATTTCAAAATGGATATTTCCCTGAAACCTGGTTGTACTTTGGTTTCATGTGAATCTGAAGGGGAGTATGTGTAGTCGTTCAGATGTTGTAGGATGTGCACTTGTATGTTTTGTGCATTGGTTTGCTAGCTTGCCCACTGCAGACCTTTTGACCTTGGTTTGCCATGTTTGCGGTACTTTTACTTGTGGCAATCCAAAAGGCTGACAAGTAGAGCGAATGTTACCAGGCTTCCTGTAGGAAGGAGCACGAACTTGTGGCACAGGGACTGGTCTCAGGAACATATTCCCATCCTTGATTTGCGAATTCATTGCTTTTGCATGTATCTCAGGTATACCGAAACTTGCTGATTTTCAGCAGGAAATGAGGGCATGAACCCCATAAACCGTCCCTTGTGGCTTCCTTTAAGGGGATCTCCTTCTGGTTCATTCCCAAACTACTTATCGCACCAGCAACCAACACATACTGTGGATGGTTGCGAAATCCATTTCGCACCATTCAGAAACCCGGGAATGATATATGAGCCACGGACAAAACACGCGTAGACCACTTTATCAAGACGGGGCACGCTTTTGAGTAACACATCCCAAAACCATGGAAAACGATGAGGTCTCCCCCAAAAACGATGACCCTTAACGAACACACGGCTCTGTAAATACGACACTTGTACTGAGAAGTTGCGATTTTCGAGCTGGAGATGCGGAAGTGTACTTCGCGCGTACCCTAGGCTTGTACTACAAAGCTGCGATTTTCGAGCTGGAGCTGCGGAAGTGTTCTTCGCGTACTAGACTTGTACTACAAAGTTGCGAATTTCGAGCTGGAGCTGCGGAAGTGTACTTCGCGTACTAGACTTGTACTACAAAGTTGCGATTTTCGAGCTGGAGGCGGAAGTGTACTTCGCGTACTAGACTTGTACTACAAAGTTGCGATTTTCGAGCTGGAGATGCGGAAGTGTACTTCGCTTACTAGACTTGTACTACAAAGTTGCGATTTTCGAGCTGGAGCTGCGGAAGTGTACTTCGCGTACTAGACTTGTACTACAAAGTTGCGATTTTCGAGCTGGAGCTGCTGGAAGTGTACTTCGCGTACTAGACTTGTACTACAAAGTTGCGATTTTCGAGCTGGAGATGCGGAAGTGTACTTCGCGTACTAGACTTGTACTACAAAGTTGCGATTTTCGAGCTGGAGCTGCGGAAGTGTACTTCGCGTACTAGACTTGTACTACAAAGTTGCGACTTTCGAGCTGGAGCTGCGGAAGTGTACTTCGCGTACTAGACTTGTATTACAAAGTTACGATTTTCGATCTGAAGATGCGGAAGTGTACTTCGCGTACTAGACTTGTACTACAAAGTTGCGAATTTCGAGCTGGAGATGCGGAAGTGTACTTCGCGTACTAGACTTGTACTTGTACTACAAAGTTGCGATTTTCGAGCTGGAGATGCGGAAGTGTACTTCGCGTACTAGACTTGTACTACAAAGTTGCGATTTTCGAGCTGGAGATGCGGAAGTGTACTTCGCGTACTAGACTTGTACTTCAAAGTTGCGATTTTCGAGCTGGAGCTGCGGAAGTGTACTTCGCGTACTAGACTTGTACTACAAAGTTGCGATTTTCGAGCTGAAGATGCGGAAGTGTACTTCGCGTACTAGACTTGTACTACAAAGTTGCGATTTTCGAGCTGGAGCTGCGGAAGTGTACTTCGCGTACTAGACTTGTACTACAAAGTTGCGATTTTCGAGCTGGAGATGCGGAAGTGTACTTCGCGTACTAGACTTGTACTACAAAGTTGCGATTTTCGAGCTGGAGATGCGGAAGTGTACTTCGCGTACTAGACTTGTACTACAAAGTTGCGATTTTCGAGCTGGAGCTGCGGAAGTGTACTTCGCGTACTAGACTTGTACTACAAAGTTACGATTTTCGAGCTGAAGATGCGGAAGTGTACTTCGTGTACTAGACTTGTACTACAAAGTTGCGATGATCGAGCTGGAGATGCGGAAGTGTACTTCGCGTACTAGACTTGTATTACAAAGTTGCGATTTTCGAGCTGAAGATGCGGAAGTGTACTTCGCGTACTAGACTTGTACTACAAAGTTACGATTTTCGATCTGAAGATGCGGAAGTGTACTTCGCGTACTAGACTTGTACTACAAAGTTGCGATTTTCGAGCTGGAGCTGCGGAAGTGTACTTCGCGTACTAGACTTGTACTACAAAGTTGCGATTTTCGAGCTGGAGATGCGGAAGTGTACTTCGCGTACTAGACTTGTACTACAAAGTTGCGATTTTCGAGCTGGAGCTGCGGAAGTGTACTTCGCGTACTAGACTTGTACTACAAAGTTGCGATTTTCGAGCTGGAGCTGCGGAAGTGTACTTCGCGTACTAGACTTGTACTACAAAGTTGCGATTTTCGAGCTGGAGATGCGGAAGTGTACTTCGCGTACTAGACTTGTACTACAAAGTTGCGATTTTCGAGCTGGAGATGCGGAAGTGTACTTCGCGTACTAGACTTGTACTACAAAGTTGCGATTTTCGAGCTGGAGCTGCGGAAGTGTACTTCGCGTACTAGACTTGTACTACAAAGTTGCGATTTTCGAGCTGGAGATGCGGAAGTGTACTTCGCGTACTAGACTTGTACTACAAAGTTGCGATTTTCGAGCTGGAGATGCGGAAGTGTACTTCGCGTACTAGACTTGTACTACAAAGTTGCGATTTTCGAGCTGGAGCTGCGGAAGTGTACTTCGCGTACTAGACTTGTACTACAAAGTTGCGATTTTCGAGCTGAAGATGCGGAAGTGTACTTCGTGTACTAGACTTGTACTACAAAGTTGCGATGATCGAGCTGGAGATGCGGAAGTGTACTTCGCGTACTAGACTTGTACTACAAAGTTGCGATTTTCGAGCTGGAGCTGCGGAAGTGTACTTCGCGTACTAGACTTGTACTACAAAGTTGCGATTTTCGAGCTGGAGCTGCGGAAGTGTACTTCGCGTACTAGACTTGTACTACAAAGTTGCGATTTTCGAGCTGCAGATGCGGAAGTGTACTTCGCGTACTAGACTTGTACTACGAAGTTGCGATTTTCGAGCTGGAGCTGCGGAAGTGTACTTCGCGTACTAGACTTGCACGACAAAGTTGTGATTTTTGAGCTGGAGATGCGGAAGTGTACTTCGCGTACTAGACTTGTACTGCACAGTTGCGATTTTCGAGCTGGAGATGCGGAAGTGTACTTCGCGTATTAGACTTGTACTGCCTGCCAAGTTTCGCTTTTCGAGCTGGAGCTGCGGAATTGTATTTCGCAATTTTCGGGCTGGAGCTGCGGAAGTGTACTTCGCGTACTAGACTTGTACTACACAGTTGCGAATTTCGAGCTGGAGCTGCGGAAGTGTACTTCGCGTACTAGACTTGTGCTAGAAAGTTGCGATTTTGGAGCCGGATCTGCCAAAGTTCGAAAACACTGTAAAACGATGAGGTCTCCCCCAAAAACGATGACGTTAAAAAAAGTACTAAGGCCAAGTAAAGGGTTTCGTCCGCTCCTCATATATATATATATGATATGATATATATATATATATATATGATATATATATATATGATATATATATATATATTATATATATATATACATTCCGGTTCCAACCATGGCTTCTGAAGGGCGCCAAGTGGATGTCGCAACCGCCTGACCGGACCTGGCAGGAGAGCGGGGAGTCCACTGCCGGCCAGCTGGAAGCAGAGCTCATGGAAAGGAACGGGACGAAACCGAGCAAAAAACCGCCGAACGAGTCGAAACTGGATTTGCCCTGAAAATTTCCCCGGAAAAGGTGTTCCAACATTCTGGTTCCTTAGGCCCCCCAAAGCGGGGTGAAATATCTTAAGTTTTTTCCGGGTGCTGGCAAGTGGGTTGAACAGAATTGGGGGAGGGGGCGACCTGGAAAAATGGACTCAGGCGGCGATCCGTACCACAGGACGGCCCGCGGCCCTGACCTCTTCGCAGTTTGAACCCCTTTGGATGTCCGTCATGTTCCCTGCCAACTAGCAAGTTGGCTTTTTTAGGGTGGTAGTCTGGCCAAGGTGCGTTTTGTCGAACTGAGGTTCCAATGCGCGAGACTCAAGGCGTTTGGATTTCCACAGGCGTCGTTCGGTGGAATTCCATGCTGATTTTGACCTGCTGTTTTAACAAACCCTTGCCATGTCCAAATGGGAAAGCCGGTGGTGGAATAGCCAACATTTGGATTGTGGGCGAACACTTCTAGACAATGACAAAGTCGATCGGGATGTCCCACTTTGGCATCACCGACAAATGTTAGACGGGCATGGGTCAAAACAACCCCACCAGGGGACCGCAGATTTTGGTCCTTGGTTCCATTTTCCAGGGCAACCCATGTTGGTTGCCTATGTGTGACAACACCCATATTATATGTATATATATTCCACAACAACTGATTGACTGGAGGTTTCTACGCCTGCAATCCAGAGGCAATGCCCCGGGCTCTTCAAAATTTTCCGCCTGATCCTTGGAGGTTGAAACTCAGCCTGGGCGGTGATTGGGGTAATCAGGGCGAGCGACTCGAGGAATATGCGTGTTGCCCATGGACAAACGCACGCTTCGCAGAGATTAGAGCTGTCATACGGTAGCTAAGGCTGATCCTCCAAAGATAAAGGAACACGCCACAATGGAAGGTGTGTTAAAGGACACCCAGTGTTTTCCACCTGCATTTTTTGCGTCAGGGCTTACATCTGCCGAATGACAGGTATCAATGGTCATGAGCCTAATACTTATACTTAGACGCGGAGGGTACTCAGTTAGTGGTTAGTCAGCCTGGTTGTAACCCACTGAACGGAGACTTATGACCATGGCTTTTGTGGTTAGGCTTACTAACCACTTACTAAGCACCCTGCCCATGTAATTTGAGTAGAGAAACGATGATTATATAGGTTTGTTTGACGTGTTTGTCTCTTTCCACTTGAGGAGCCGCGAGTGCGCAACGCTGCGGAGGGAAAAGGAGGAGGCCGCCAAACGGGCAGAGGAGCTGTTGCAGAAGCAGCAGGAGATGCTCAGCCCTACTTGAAGGGTCCAACCATACAAGTGACATTGTTCTATTTTGTTGGCGAGTTGTTTTTAAGGAGGCCCGATGGAAAACGACCATAGGGGTGTCCCCCCTTTGCGGGGTTGGGAGGGGATTTGTTCACACAGCAGTGTGATCTCCTTAAGCTCGCACCGGGCACGAAGCACACGAGAGTTTGAGACAATCAGCAAAACAAACTTGAACCTTCATAAACCCAGCGGGATCGTTTTCATCTTCTGGCCCTCCCCAGCAACAGTTGTCGGAGCATCACTCAGCATGCCAGCAATAAACTTGAATAAACCCAGACCCACACAGATCCGTGCTGAGCACGGAACATCAACACAGGGCTCTATGCGGTGCCCAGGACTTGAACCAATCCGACATCCAACAAACCTCCGGTGGTTTGTTGGGTCCACTTTAAAGTGACGTCTATATTTGCGTTTTGTTAACAAAACATCCCCTGTTGGTTTTAAAGGGAATCGATTTCGCCACAGGGCATACGTTCTTTTTTATTTTTTCCAGGGGCGAAACAACAAGTGGAAGTTGAATTACCAGACACAGACGGCATTTTGCCCATGGCCGCTAGGATTCGGGACATGGGAAAAACAAAAACAGTTGTTGGGTGCGTGTGCTTTTCTCCCCAGATTTGGGCCACAACGATTTTTGGCGCCTTTGGCGGGTTTTTGCGCCTTTGCCATTGACCCGATCTCAGGAACCTGCAGGCCGCCCAGGAGGGCCGCGCTCTGCACGCGGAGAACCAGCGCCTCCAAGATCAGCTCGTCGGCGCGCAGGAGGAGCAGAAGGCACGCGCTTCGTGGCGAGCGGGCGAGCGATTGCCGGGGGCGAGGGGGCGAAACTGTGCGGCATGGCGCGGCCTGGGGAAAACCGGTCTCCCCTTTTGGTTCGCGGAAATGGTTTCAGCAAGGAAAACTGGCTTGAAGATGGGAAGGCGACCAAATTTGATTCGATTCGAAGTTGCGGAGAAGGAGACAAAGGGGACTGCTTAAGAGTAGCAATTTGGGGTCTCTTGAGTGGTGGTTGTCGTGGAAACCCCGTGTTGGCATGGGCATTCTTTTCAGGGACCCGCCACCACAGCTGCGGCGCGACATTCAGGCCCTGAATGCCGTGGTGGAGCGGTGCTTGGCCAAGATGGAGGTGGACTCCCGGATCGAACTATCGTTGGGTGAAACAAAAATAGTGTCACGTCGAATGGTTCTCTCCTGAAGTATGCTTGAATTTTTGCCTTTGTGGTTTTCCATCATTTCCCCTGGAAGGTTTAAGTCTAGTCAAGTCTCATGGCCACAACTTCGAAAGACTGAGGCTCTCTTGCCACATCGCAATCTTCCAGGCTTGTTGACGGAAGCTGAAGGGAGTGCAATTTTCTCTGAAAGGTGTTCCAGGCTCCAGCTTTGTTTTCGGAGAGTGCCTGCTTGAGAATCATGGAAGTGGGGGGGGGAGTTCGGAGGTAAGAGTCTTGAATTGACTCCCGTGCTCGACTGGGTCTCTTTCCATTGGAAGGGAAACAAGTGACTTGCCCAAGAGCGTCAAAGCCAAGCCTTGAACGCCCCGATTCGAGCCGAACAACGGGAAGTGATTGGATCGGCCAAGAGAACTCTCCGACAAGCGACCCTTCCAAGTGTGCCTCGCAACGGGCCGGTATCTCACAAACATTTGTGTGACTCCTCATTTGCATGGTAGTACGGTAGGCCAGAGCCATTGCTGTAAAACCTCTAAGCCATGCCAGCAACACCGCCCCTGCATGCCATGTCAGGGAGAACGTGCCAGCTCAGGACAGTCGCGAGCGCCCGTTCCTGGTGGACAAGCGCATGGTCACCCAAATGCTGGCGGCGTACCTGGAGCAGCGGGAAAATCCCGGGCCGCAGCAGGAGCAACGACCAGTTCTTCAGTGGGCTTCTGATTCTTGGGCTCCCCACTGATGTTGACCCCATATCAATCATCCCCAGTTTATCAATAGGGGGGAAAGACTAGAACCCTATCAATAACCTCATGGCTTCCTTTAGGCTGCAGGAAGAATACAACCCTCGGCACTACAACGCTGAAATCGTGCTACTGCAAACCATGCAACGAGTATCTGCTAGATTTTAATGTTGACTCCATATTAATCAACCCCAGTTTATTACTAGGGGGTGTCTCTGGGTTTAGTGGGGGATCATCACTTTTGGAGGGGAACACTGTGTGTGACCAGTTTCTGCGTGAGACCAAAGGAAGGCCCTTGCAAGTGACAAAATAGTCCTGGGGCCGTGTGCAACCGCGATGCAGTCCGATCTGCTGAAGCCAGTGCTTCGAGCTGACGCATGACCGGCCGATTTGATCGGGAGGGTGGGGGTTGGGGGTTGGGGGGTAAAAGAAGCTCAGTGCAGGTCCTTTGTCCAGGAGGCCCCAAAGTATGATTCCGATCCTGAAATGTTGCTCGGTTTTGGGGGCTGTAGTGCAAGTGTAAGTCAGGGAACAAAGGAACCCCCCCTGATTGATTGCATCTTAATCTACCAGTCATGCGGTCTCGAGCTTCTGGGTCCTTTGGGCAACTGAGTAAAAGATGCAGGTAAACAAACGTCACATCCACGAAGAACACCTGTTGGTGGACCATCGTGTGGCGCACCCGGCATCTCATGAATGCGCCCTGTGGCGCATGGCCCTTCGTACACGAATGACCAACACCCTTTGCAGGGGAGCCCCTTGTTGAGGAACCCCCTGAGCACCCGTTGGGCACTAACATAGACTGGCGGAGGGGTTGGGGTGGTGCAGCTTTCTGGATGGCTCTAAGAAACCTAGAGGAAATTCTGCAGGAAGTTAGGCAAAGCCAGGGTTTGGCGGGTGTTCGCATGTATTCGCCGAACTTTCTTCAGAGTTTCCGGTAGGCTTCTTCGAATTTGCGCAGGGTCTCCTGACGTTTTTTGGAAGCGGCGATCGCTTCAATGGACTTTTCCCTGGGGGAAAAAGTAGCTTCCTGTTTCCTGATGGATGGTTGCGAAATCCATTTTGCACCACCTAAGAAACCATGGTTGTTGAAACCATTGTTTGTTGGTATTGCACGATAACCTCGAATCATTCCGTTGGGTTTCTCAGGTGGTACAAAATTTATTTCGCAACCATCCACAAGTAGGTAGGTCCAAAGGTGAGTAAAACAAAGCCCTCAGTTTCTGAGGTGCGAGAAGTTCGAATGTCGCACCCATTTGGCAGGAGATTCTCCACAAGATGGCGGATTTGTTGGGTTTCACCACCAGCGAGAGGGAGCAGGTGGGCCTGTCCCACAAACGGAAGACGCCGCTGCAGATGGAGGCCAGGGAGGGACTGCCTGTGGGAAGTGCTAGGGCTACGTGGGTATTTGGAGCTGCTGTGGATGGACGAAATCCATTTCGCACTACTTTGAAGCATGGTTGAAACCATATCGTTTGTTGGTATTTACAGGGGAATCGAATCCTTCCAGGGGTTCTTAGGTGGTACGAAATGGAATTCATCCACTCACAGTATGTGTGTGCACAGGGTACATTTCTCACAATCATGATTTCATGATGTTTTTTGCCACCACGTTCCTTTAGAGCGTGTGTTCTGGTCTTGGCTGCAAAGCAGACGGTTCTTTTGGATGGTGTAAAGGGAGCCGGGTTGATGAATATGGGGGCGGGGATCCGGATCACATTGGCGGGGAAGCAGCCGGCAATCGAATGAGCCAGGTATTGATTCTAACTCAACGTTAGAGGGTTGCATACAGGCGCCTATTCATTCTGGGCCCCCTGAACTTTGCGCTGCGGGTTTCCCTTTGTTTTGTCTGGGTATTCCTCTCAAGTCATGGTTTTGGCCCTATTTGGCCTTTGGAGGACTGGGAGCACTTTTGGATTTCATCAAGTTGTCCAGTTGGATAACGGCTCGGCAAATCATAATGAGCTCACCTGGGCTTGAAATGAGCTCACCAATGTAGGTCTTCAGCTTACGGATCCCAGATAGTGTTGTCCCCGGAGTAAACCGTTCAGAAAAATTGGCAGTGTTTACTGCGCAGGACATCCATGTTCCGCAACCATTGGTTTAGTCCCAGCACACCCATTGTGCCTGCAACCTGCGACAACCAGGTTTCCCAAACAGCCATTTTTGAGGAGTAGACCTTCTGGATAGGAATTGGCAGTTTGAGAGACTACCATTTGTGAATGGTTGTTTCAGGTTCCAGGTGTGTCAACACAGATGGATTCCCTCCCGAGGGTTGGTTTCATGGTGCCCTTAAACCGTCCCATCAAGCAGGGGCTTGGGCACAAGCTGGGGTACAGTTCGAGCTCTCCCATTGGGTTTAGCAACCCGTGCAGTTGACATCTCCAGTTGAGAAACTTGAGACCCATGCGGGACCTTAGATCAATTTGCTGGACATGGAGTCATTTGCCCTCCATGAATCTGGTTGTCCTGGGCAATGCCGGATTTTGAGCCTTCGTCTTTTCGAGAGGGAATCTCCCCGCCCGGTGAGGACCCTTCGATGTTCCAGTGCCCATGTCGGCTGTTAAAGAGGTTACAAGATGAGTAGGGGAGAGGCGGAGCCACAAGTCTAGGCTCCTTGCTTCACACCCTTCATACCTGGAGTCTCCATGACCTTTCAAAAACATGGGGGTCATGCCCGGGCTTTATTTTGGTCATGACCATTTTTTGGACGGGTCATGGAGATTCCAGGTATATACCCTAGGTCCCTCAGTAGTGCCCTTTTACCTTTTTTTGGAGGAGGGGTAATAAAAAAAGGGCACATTTATTCTGACCTCTCTACTGGTGGAGGACCTAGTACCAAAAGTGAATGGTCGTTTTGTGTGCTCCTTCCTTTCCACACCAGGAGGCCGCGGGGCTGACGGACCTCACGGATCGCTTCGTGGACTTCTTGATGGAGGAGTCTGAAGCGGGCTGAGACCCGGGCTGACTGCCGAAGTCGCCCCAACACCGCCGGGCCAAAAATGCATCTCTCAGAGAGTTGGGGCACCCACATGTTGTTTTTTTGTGTGAGTGTGTGTTCTTTTCAAGGTTGGTTCGAAGGACAATTAAAAGGAACCGCAATGTTTTTGGGTGGTTTTCCCTATTTGGACACATGCCCACATGCAAAGGGGCCTTTGGCCAAGTTGTTTGTAGTCTGGTTTCCTTTGGCCCCGTTTGACAAGTCCCTGCAGCACGGAAATTACCACCTGAGGGCCCCAACTTCCTGAGACAGACGCATCGCGAGCCTCTTTTCGTGGAACCTTCAAAGGGTCAGAAAGGCCTCAAAGGAGAGATGGCAAAGACTATGGCAAAAGGCCGGCCAAATATATGTCGAGCTGCTGCCACACATTCGCTCTGTGCAAAAACGAGATATTGCTTGTGGGTTGGTAGGAACTCGGATGGTTACCGACCCTTGGCAAAGAGAAATCATATTGAACAACCATGATAAATTAAAGGTTCCCCCTAGCCAAGTTGTTGCCAAGTGGCACGACCTGCCAATAACCTGCTCAGGTGGCTTGGCCTTGCAGACTCAGGCCGGGGGCGGGGGGGGGGGGGGGAGGGTGAAAAGGGGTGATGACTATTGTCATCTAAACCGCTACTGGCTCCAAACCACATGCAAAGGGGGTATGGTGTTCCACCCTGCAGTATATGACATTGCTTCTGGGTTGTTAAAGGGCTTGCGGACTATGCCAACCAGCTGACCCCCAATGTGTATCAGTTGTTTGGGGCCGGATTTTCGCTTGGGGCCCCGGATGGTTTGCGACCCGTGCCAGGGTCGCGGCCTTTGGAGGAGAATGAGAGGCCCGGCGTTTGGACTTCAACGGTAGGGAGTTGGGTTCTCAAAAGGGGCCAATTCCTGGTGTTTTCTTTTGTTTTGCATGGAAACCATCCAAAAAGGAACTCCTGCTGTTTTTGTGGGTGTTTGAGCGTTTCCTGAAAAGACGGACTCCTCCCGGTGGTTGGATTTCTGTTGGTTTCCCTGCAAAACCCATCCAAAAAGGAATCCTCCAAACCCGGGAGCGGCGTGCTTCGGATTGGGCATATATATTCATTGGCTACAGCTGTCGCTCTCCTTGCCACCGTTTTTCTGAGAGTTGTCCAAAACCCATCCAGCTGTCAACCTGGTCCAGTCAAGACTTCCAGGTCCTTGGGACAGGTCCCAGGTGTTTCGACTGAGCTTCAGAGGCTTCGGGCTGTCAGGCGAAGGCTCGAGCAGGAGTGCCGTGTGCACTTGCTGTCCAGTCAGCATCCCGGGGGTTGGCCAAGGCCCTTTGGTCATCTGGGCGTGTCCTGTTGTCGTGGACCGCGACCAGTCGTGTTTGTTTTCCTGGTGTCCCTTTAATTTAAAACCACCAAAAAAGCAGTACCCTCACAAAGCAGCAGGCCCATTTGTCATGAAGACTCTCACCAAATGTGAGAGTTCCATTTGGGGGAGCCATCCGTGATCATGGAGTTTGGACACATATGGAAGCTTGCTTGATGCAAAACGAGCTTACTTGAGGTCTCATCCCTGAACATCCTTTACTGCGAGGGGTTCTGCGTTTGGGGCCATCTTTCTTGATGTAGGGGCCGTTGATGGACTGTACAGCTTCCAGCCCGACCAAAACTTCCAGTTCAGCTGCTGCGCTGAAGCGGCATGTCAAGAGCATCTGCAGCATGCTGAGTTTCAGTTGTCCAAAGCCGACCTTTTATTCACCTTTTGGTTTTCCAATCCTGTCCCATTTTGAGTCATGGCTGAACCTTGTATTTCTGGGTCTTTTGGGCAACTGAGAAGCCCACTCATCAAACGTGCGCTCTTAGTGTACATTTCCTACTTTAGGTTGGATGAGTTTGTAGACCTGGGGTCTTGACCCTTCCAAAACGGGGTCACCCAAAATATGTTGGGGTCACCCCATGTTTTCTTCGTCATGGAGTCATGGAGACTCCGGGTAGCCTTCGGTCCACACGTGTCACCGGAGCCGCCGGACTCGCAGCTTGGGCTCCCGGGCGTTCGAAGCTCGAAAGCAAGCGGCAAGAGCTGAAGCTCATCGAGCCTTTCTGAAGGGAAGATGACTTCCATTTGCTGAAACGAATGCATATATGATATAGATAATAATAATATATATATATATATGTATAATATACATATCAACATAATATATATGTACATCTAATTAAGTTTCCCTCGTTGGTGATAAAGGAATCGAGTTCACTAAAGGAATTATGTTGATTGAAAAAAGAAAAATACATATATATATATATATATATTATAATATAATACATATATACACACATCAACATATGATATATATATATACATATATATATATAAATAAGTGCCCCTCGTTGGTGACAAAGGAGTTCGATTTCACTACAGGAAATATGTTGTTTGACAAACAACAGGGGGCTCAAGCAAATGGACGATGAGCTGACCCATGAAGGTGGGTTGCTGATTTGTTGTGTTTGTATGTGCAGAGTTGGACACGAGGCGGACAGGCCCAAGCAGGCAAGTGGCGTGGTTCTGACGCATGTCTTGGTGTCGTTCTCAATGGCCTTTGCCGAGAAGTTGCAAGCAAACCATGCGCAACTGCGAAGAAGATGGCAGCTGCGGTGAGATTCATATTGCCGACATGCCATAACACCTGGGAGTCAAAAACGGTCATTGGATATCCCTATGTTCCACCTTCCTCGTGATGGCATTTCCTCTTGCCGCTGGTCCAGGTGGGCCCCTTGTCGGGTCCTGGGGTGTGGTGGGGTGCGGGGTCCAAAAGAACAGCATTCTGGGATCGCAGCGAACCCCAAACAAATCCCCATCCCCAAAGTATGAGGCGATATGGAATCTACTCCAAAATTCAGGCTCAAGGTAACATTTTGGAGCATCTTGCAGCTCCCAGAACTGACGTGGTAAGCTGGCCCAATGATAGTGTCCCCTTCTGCGGGTTGGAGCACGGCCAGGGCTGTTGAGAGTTCACACGGATATGTGAATACTACGTAGAACAAACTTGTTACTTTACCCAACATCGAACAGCCAAAAGGGAATGGGTATTGTTGGTTTTTTTCCGAGCCCCACACACACATATATATATATAGACATATATATATATATACATATATGTATATTTATAGTACTGAGAGCTTCGTCTTAGAGTGGCATTCAGCTGCCTCCCACTTAGCACTTGGAAGGGTTTGGACCTTCGGTTGGCAGCTACATCGCGCTTTCGGAATCGGGGCACAGAGTTGCCGTTTTGTGAAAGACCCCTTCAAATCTCTCGGGAGGAAACTCTGGGCCAAGGTTGTGAAATCCCCAAGCGAAATAGATGGCAACCCCAAAATGATTTGAAGTTTTCGACATGTCCATATCGCAATTGCCGCGAGAAGTCTGGATTTTGTGATACGTGCGAAACATTCTGTGGATGGACGAAATTTTGCACCTAAGACACCCTGGTTTCTGATGCAAATACCAACAAACAGTCGTTTCAGCCATGGTTTTGAAGCGGGTGTAACTGGGTTTTCGTCCATCCGCAGGTTTTTTGTGCCAGTGATGGGGAATTCCACTCCGTGGCCAGGGCTTGCCCCCTGGGAGCTGGCAGTGCGAGAGTCTTCCATCCACGGCCTCCGTGCGGCGATGATGGCGGTGCCGGGGAGCCCGAAGCGCAACGCCGATCCGACCGCAACGGATTCGCACCGCGGAGGTCGGAAGATGTCGGAAGAGTCCTGTGGGTTGTGGTGGATCACTCGGGGGTTTCTTCCCACTTCTGTGATACAAGGGAATCCCCTCTTTATATGGGGGGGTAGCCTTTGGGAGGCCAAAGCAAAACTAGTTGTTCAGCATGTGTTCCTTCTTTTGCTTAGGGTCGGCGCGTCCGCTCTTCCGAATCCGCAGAGTGGGGGTGGGCGCATCTTTGTTGGCTTTCACTGGCCTTTTGCCCAAATCCTCACGGACCGAGCTGTTGAAGTTGCAGGATATGGCAAGTCGGAATCCTAACCTTTATCTCTCATGATGTCCTTTATGGGAAACGGCATGCCCTATACCTCCGTGGAAGCTTGCAGGTTTTCCCTTGAAGCTCCGACTCGGAGCCATTCCGGGAGCACAGCGCCACCCGCGCCAAGGCTGCGGGTCACCCTTCAAGTGGTAAGGAGTGCCCCAATTGACTGATTTGATGATTTCATGTATTTGTTGGTTTTTGCATTCAAGTCAAATTAGATTGTAATCACATTTGATTGATATAATTGCCAAGTATAGATTGTAATCACACTTATGAGTTGTGATTTGCTTTGATCAGATCCCTCGACGTTTTGTAGTCTTGCCGCCCGGAGCTTGACAAAATGCTTCAAAGCGTTTCCAAGAAGGCAGCAGGGACCAACCAGGAAGAATCAAGCCCCATCCTTAGACAGTCCGGCCTTGTAACTGGGGCTGCAAGTCTTTTAACAATAACTTTCATCATCTTGCATCTAGGCACAGGAATCTCTTAAAACTCTGTTAAGCTGCGGCCCCTTTCCTTCCAGGCTCGCGGATTTGCTAACCCACTGACTGGCTTTTCGCCCTCTTCGGTTGCCCCCCCTCCCCTCTCCGCCCAGGTTGCGAGAGAGCGCCCTGCAGTCCTTGGCGGAGATCCTGCTGCACCACCAGTTCCTTCGAAGCAAAGAGGCGCTGCGGCAGTGGCACACCGCGGCACCTCGGCTGAGAGGGTGGGCCCCTGAGTCCATTTTTAGCCTCGTTTAGCCTCGGGTAGGGTGTTTTTAGCGCCTGTTTCGGTGTTTCTGTGGTCAGCCTCCCACCAAACACATAGAACCTGACGGTCGGGAGTCCCTTTGAAGGGAACCTAGTCCAAACCAGGACCCCGAAACGTCAGTTTTTATGTGAAAGGGTGGGAGTTGTTGTTTTTTGTTGTGTTGTGTTGTGTTGTGTGTGTGTGTGTTTTGTAAATCAATTTGCCACCTCAGTGGAATGGCATTGCATATCTTCAGACTACAGGCAATTGCAGAGCTTTCTTCGGGGATCTTGACGTTGATCCAAGGGTTTTCACCAGCTGTTCGGATGAAGTTGTCATACGTTCCTGGGCATGTCTTTTTGTTAGGGGACCAACAGCCAGGGTAGCTTCGGGTTGGCAACCTTCCTTCCGAGCATGCACGTCAAACGCACAACGGCCACCTCGGCGGTTGGGTTTGGGTTGCGACCACTCCCGAGCAAAAAAATCCTGGGATACCCGGTTTTCCTCTCTCGGTGGTTTGGGCCCATCTTAGATACTGGGAAGCTATTGGTTGCCTTTGAATACCAGGGGTTTGTGCTGGTTTTTTGACATGCTTCGTCCAGCCTTGGGACATTTTGAAGCGCGAGACTGTTCCCTAAGCAGAGCTGGTGCGGCTCGAGGCAAAGAGGCGCGGGCTGCACCAGCAGCACGCGCAGTCAGCTGTGGAGAAGGCAGAAGTGGCCAGCAGGCGGGCTGGGTGGGAGGGGGGGGGGGAGTGGGGGGAGTGGGGAGACAGGTGGCGTTGGTGGCAAAATTGGCAACCAGACTCTGATCCCCTCTAAAGGGGAAACCAGGACCATTAAGAATGGCTTCAGAAGGTTGGCCCAACCATGCATGTGCGACCTTTTTTGACACAGCTTCAACATGGATATGGAGGGTGTGTTATTTTGCTTTGAAACAACCTTGGAAAACTGTACGTATGTGGACGGCGACGGCACTGCCGGCACCAAGCGTCATGACCCCCACATTGATTTGATCAGGGGGGGTTATTTGGCGGCCCGCTGGGGGCAACCCCCGCTATGTGGCCATGGTTGGGCTGAAGAAAACTTTACGGAAAGTTCGATTTTGAGACCATGGCCTCACAGTGATACGAAACTACGCGTAAACTAATAAGGGCCGCCAAGCCGCCGCCAACCGATCTTGACAGGACATGTGGGAAGGGGGCCCTGTTTGAAGTTATCTTCATCCCGTGTTCTGAAGAAAATGGCCAACCATGGCCAATCCAGCCACAGGAACCCCGTTGCTTTGCGGCACTTGGTTTGAAAGTTAGTTTTGCAGGTTGCCCACGGAAAATATTTCCATGCCAAAAAGGATTCCCTCAGAAAGGAGACCGCGCTTAACCCCAGGAAGCTAGAGCAGGAAACACTTTCTCTCCTGACCATGGAAGCTGACAGACAGGTTTTGGAAGGTGACGCACTTTTCCCCTGGAAAAGGCCTTAATAAACCGCTTCCCTTCAAAGATGAGCGGCTGAAAGTTCCGATCACATAGCCGATGTGTTTTGAATGAGTCCAGAGGTCCGCACGTGCTTGTGGCCAGGCTGAAGGACAAGCATGAGCTGGAGGCTGCGCGACTCCGAAGCCAGTGGAATCAAGAGCGCAAGGCGCGATCCATCGGAAGGTATTGAGATCAACTCATGTGTAGGGTCCCGGATCACATGCGTAAGGGCCGCTGTTTTGACGATGCCCGTGCTTTCCCCTCGTGGCCACAAGGAAAAAACATGTGTAATGAGTTAGGGGTGCCTCATGACTTCCAGTTCGCCATGGGGACTTTGGAAGTCTTTGGGCATAATCAGGCTGCGCGCTGAGTTTACTGATGCAGCAACCAAAAGGATCTCCACTAATATCCAAACCCATTTGCAATCATGACGCGTGGTATCGTATGGTTTTTGCTCTCTGACAGGATTCATTTTTGTTTGCTTGTTTTTTTCCTCAGCTAGCTCGCAAGAGCATGGTGGCTTGGAGCCGTTCGCTTCTCATATAAAGTAGGGGAGGTGATTCTAATCGACGGCTGGGTCCTTGTTGCTGCCGAGTTTTGGTTCCCCTTGCCAGGTTCCAGTTTACAAGGTACAACTTAGGTACGGTATTCTCCTTTGCTGGTTGACGCAGTTGGGTGCAGCTGATGAATAGACCTTACATGTCAAATATTTTACAAAGTCCCATTGAACAGAAATACAGAATAAACAGACACAGAAATGAAAGGGAACTATATTACTGCGAGAAAATGACAACAACTAGTTGGTCGCTGCGGAATCTGTAAGCTTGCAGCACACGATCCCGAGACACTGGATGAAGTCAGGCCTTTCGAAGATCCCTGGCGTTGATTGGCTTCTTCTTTGGTCATATTACGTCGATTTTGTTATTTTCTATGTCATTTCATTCAATGGTTGACCATTGTAATAACATATTCCTACGGTGCATGTGTGTTGTGGCTGAGCTTCAGGTGGATTGTGATAATCTCTGCCCTCCTTGGTGTCCGACCATTGCTGCAAGCCTTTCGAAGGACTCGGTTATCCACTCGGACAATACATGTTGACATAACGCTCAGACAAGTGCGGCGACACGCGAGTGTATCTTTCTTTAGGGACCCACCAAGATAGTGGCACCCTCAAGGTACCCTCAAACGAAGACACACCCACATCACGGGATATCACGGGTTGCAATCAAATGCCTCTTGTGATCTTTGGGCAGCATCGATGCATTTGACTTTGAATCGGACGCATGAAGCCACAGGGCAGTTGTCTTCGGGAGACAAGGCCAAACCAAAGTCTGTCAAGGTTGCGTGCAAGTTTCGCGTAGGCTATTCTTGTCTGGTTTGTCCAGGCCTAGTTTTTGCATGAAGTCGCCCAGTGCTACCAAGAGGCCCCCCGTATGAGGCCGTTTCACGTGAGTTCCAATGGGGTTGAGTTCGTTTTCAGGCGCTCCTAAAGAAGGAGCTCGGGCCCTAAGTCTGAACAGTCGACAGACGTGGCGTTTTTTTGGCCGAGTGGGAAACCCCCTTTGCGTCGGATCCCTGGGCGGATCACGAAATCCTAGGGCCTATCTTTGCCCCGGAACGAAGCAACCCAGCTTGGAAGGGGGAGCCTTGTGACAGGTTGCATTGCCAGGCTTAATTTGCCTCAAGCTTTTGCTGTCTCGGTTTTCCCCCATCTCCAATTTTGCTCACCAGCAACAACAAACAACTTTTTGCAGGGGGTCGGACCTGTTTGGTTGTTTTCGCATGGCAATCGCCACCCGTGGGACGAGACTGCCAGCTGCCCTGAAGCACAGCTGTGGCAAGTGCACTCCCTGCAGATTTGTTTCTGGGGCGGTTTTAAAGGACGCCAACAGCAAACCGACTGTTTTGGGAGTCCCCCAACACAAGCAACAAAAAACAGATGCATGGGAACACAGGATGAACCCGGTGGAATTATTGTGGGGGTCCATAGGGAGAAGGAATCCTTCACTCTTTTGCTTCTCAGCTGACCCTGGCTATTTCGTACACGAGCCCTTTGGGCAAGTGAGCCGCTTGAAGTTCCTTACGACATATGTTGACGTTTCGCACTAGTCAGGGGAGGGATGTTCTTACTGTGGATGGACGAAGTTCTGCACCGATTTGAAACCATGGGAAATCCTTGTTTGTTGGCATTTACAGGAGAACAACTCAGTTGTCCAAAGCCGACCTTTTGACCTTTTGGTTTTCCCATTTTGGCCCATTTTAAGTAGAGGTGCCAAAAGGTTAACCTTTTAGTTCTGGGTCCTTTGGGCAACTGAGATATATAATCATTCCAGGGTTTCTTAGGTGGTGCAGAATTTGTTGACATCCACAGTATGTCAACTGTGAAGTGTTGTGATGGCACTGGCATTGGAGTACTTGGCAAACCTACGTCAAGTGGAGGGGGAAAGCACGCCTCTCCGTATTCGAGAGTCATGCAAAGCCGCTGCAGACCGAGAGGTCGGAACAAGCAAAAGCGAATGCTGCGAACCATAAAGAAGAAACATAGCGATGACAAAACGAGAACTAACGTTTCAATGAATATAAATTCGCCAATGCGAAATGCACGATTGATTTCGAAAATACTGCGAGTATGGGTTCCTTGTTCCTTACTTGTATTCCGGGAACGCACCTCGAGTAGGCGCCTCGTTCGGTTTCCTCCACCCTTGCGTTGGCTACGGCACATGCGCCTTGCCAAATTTGGCCCGAGGATGACGGAGGAGGAAATCAGGCGGGCGGGTGTGGAGGCCGTAGCTCAGCTTCCAAAGTTTGCCCTGAGATGAGGGAGGTTTTTATGCGGTCTACGGGCAATCTGCAAATTTAAAGGGAAGCCACGGATCTCACAATTTTAAGAGAAGGCAATTGCAACAAACTGTTTTGAAAGCAACCAACAAGCAACCAAAGTTTCAGGGATGGCCCTACTTGAGGCAATACCCATTGGCCGTGCGACCCCAGCAGAAAGCAGCTATTGTTGTTGATTTGTCGTTGGCATGCTGGCTGGCAATAAAGCAATTGGTCGAATTCTGTTCCGAGGCCACCCTTCGCAGCTTTCAAGCATAGTTTGTGATTCCTGCTCGACGAGTGTTTTGGGACGCTCCCCCTTGAGTGGATCCTTGGATGAACTGCCACGTTGCAAGCAATTGGTTGTTTGTCTGATTCGGGCAAGTTTAAGGCGACAATGTGAGTTTTATTCTGTATTTTTTGTGTTGTGTGTTTGTGCGCCTGCGTGCTAGCAAGGTAGCGGCCTGTGGCTGCTAAACAGATTCAAGAATAAAGATGCGAACATAATATGTTAGTCCTTGTTGTTTGTTAATTTGTGTGAGGCCCGTGGTTCGGTTTCTCTACAAGCAAGGGCTTGGCGGCTTCGCGTTCCTTCTTTTGATACAGGTCCTCTTTTCATGTTGAGGTTTGGCAGCTCACGGCAGACAAAGCTCAATAGTAGGAAGCAAGGACATGATTTGGCTAAAGCAAGAGTGTCATAGATGCTGCAGGTTTGGTGACAACCCAAATCTAAAGGGGCCACAGGCTTGGTGAGCATCCAAATCTGAATTGGCCATAGGTTAGGTGACAACCCAAATCTAAAGGGACCACAGGCTTGGTGAGCATCCAAATCTGAATTGGCCATAGGTTAGGTGAGGATCCAAATCTGACGTGGCCATAGGTTTGGTGAGGATCGAAATCTGAAGTGGCCATAGGTTTGGTGAGGATCCAAAATCTGACGTGGCCATAGATCCAAATCTGAAGTGGCCATAGGTTTGGTGAGGATCCAAATCTGAGATTTGAAGTGGCCATAGGCTTGGTGAAGATCCAAATCTGAAGTGGCCATAGAGGTCATAGGTTTGGCGAGGATCCAAATCTGAAGTAGCCATAGGTTTGGTGAGGATCCAAATCTGAGGATCCAAATCTGAGATGGCCGTAGGTTTGGCGAGGATCCAAATCTGAAGTGGCCATAGAGGTCATAGGTTTGGTGAGGATGCAAATCTGAGGTTTGGTGAGGATCCAACTCAGAAGATCTCAATGGCCCATTTTGTATAGCATAGAATTATTTCTTTGCATTTTGCTTGGATGTTAGGACTTTAACTTTATGGAGTTTTCCATTAAACCACTAATACTTAAACTTTTAGCAGGGGAGCAGAACGCAACCGAGCTTTGTAGCTGTGGGGACCTGGAGTCGCCAGGAAGCTGCGTGAGATGGACGGGTTCCACCGGAGCCGAGTGGCCAAACTCCATGACTTCCACGAGAAGACGCAGCTGGCGCCGCGGCAAAAATTGTTTAGATCGAGTGTTGGTCAATATCTTCCCTTGGCCGGAACCGAAACGTCTGCAAAGCCCTGGCGCCGCAGCGGCAACTTAAGCTTCCATTGGCTGAAATGAATATGTTTCATGTTCCCCAGTTGGTTTTAAAGGGAATCTATCACTACTGGACATATTTTTCGAGGGGACTTAAGCAAATGGAGGATACGGTGGATGGACGAATCTTTGCACCGCTTTGAAACCATGGTTGAAACTATACCGTCTTTTGTATTTACAGGGGAATGATCGGAAACCAGTGTTTAATAGGTGCAGGATTTCGTCCATCCACAGTCCACAGAGGCTATAGCTATTTGCTCGGTTGTCCAAAAAGAATCGATTGGATCTGACCTTTCGGTTTTATGTCGGTCCTGTTTTTTTGTCATAGCCCCAAAAGGTTTTACCTTTTAGTTCTGGGTCCCTCAGGCAACCGAGATTGGGGTGAAAGCAGGTGGCACCTTTCGGTTTTCGAGTCAAGGTTCATTCATTTGGAGTCGAGTCAAAGTCCAAAAGTCCTGTTGTTTTCTAGGTTCTGCGAGCGTCGGGGCAGAGCGCCCCGCGAGTCGCCCATTTCGGTTTGGTTGGGATCAGCCTCTTCTGGGTGTCCATGGCCCCAACATGCTGAGACCAAACGGCCGCATGCAAACTCCTGGGCCAGGAGGTCGGTGGCCGACTGTTGGATCCGGAGTTGTGTGTGCATTTACTGCAACTAGGTGCCTCAGTAGTGCCCTTTTATCCCTTTTTGGGGGAGAGTTCCCCTACTAAAATAGACTACAGATGAAAGGGTACCCTTATTCTAACCTCTCTACTGGAGGACCTAGGCAACAATCATCCAATCAGGGCTCCACGCAGAACAAGTGGCCAACTCGCGCAGCTCAGATGCCGGACTTGGATCCATATTCGTGTGACCCAGATCAGCTTACGTGTGGCTCTTTGGGGGCCCCTGGCACCAGAGCCACGTTGCTTCTTGATACGTTCTGGAGCCCAAGGCCGACCGTGTTTCAAGGGGTGGCTCCAGATGTTTCCCTTGTAGGGGGTCCACTTCATTCTTCTTCATTTTTTTTTGGGGGGGGGTTGAAGACTGGAACTCCATTTCTGGCTCCATTTGCCCATGGGGAAGAATAGACATTGGAGTGCGGGGACACCCACCCCCCTTCCCTTAAGGCAGTGGATCCAATCTCTGTCGCCTCATCCGGACCAAGGACACCCAAGTCGCTTTGGACGAGGCCTGGGGGCCGGGCCGAAGCAGCAGTTCGGGGTGATCTATGTCCCTTACAAGCCTCAAGTGCTCAGCTATGAATCTTTTGAGCCCAGGGGCGTGAACCCCTCATGGAACGTACGGTATCCATACGCTCCTGGCACGCTTGGATCCGCCTCCACGCGGCCGCTTGCGGCTGATGTATTGAGAATCGTTAGGGCCCCTGGCCAGCCAACGCGGAGGGCCATTTAAACGGGCATGGGCGCACCAACTCCCTCGGTGGTAAAGGGAGCTTATTTATGTCATCCGTGTATTAATATGTTTAGTGCTTACACCTAGGATCATGGCAAACTGAGCATTGATGTGTGTGTGTCAGTGTTCACTTGGCATGGGCCCCCCGGGCTCCCTGCTTAAGGCGACTCGACCTTTTGATCTTTGTCTTTCCTGCGTTCTCCCGTGTCTGGTCATGTTTAGTCCAGAAATTTTGGCCTTCATCTCCAGGTGCTTTGGGCGAGGCAGGTCGCTTCTGCCAGGCGCAGACCAAATGCAAGAGGGACATGAAGGCCGGTGCCTGAGGCGTTTCGGGGCGGAGCGCCTGGGCCCAGACTGTCCGTTTCGCGGGGGGGGGGGGATTTTCCGAATACCGGGTGGAGTTGGATCATTGGTTTCATGTGCAGTGAGCGGGTCGCGGAGGTGCGCCAACTCGGATTCTTGTCCCAAAGTTGGCAAACATACGTCCTCGGCTCCAAGGGAACCACCTTGTCTCACAATGGGGGGTTGATCCCGAATCCCGCCCCGTTTGGACGTCAAGGAAGCCAAGCGGGGGACCAAGCCTTCAAGCCGCTTGTGGCGTTATTTTTTTCGAAATACACCATGGCACTCCAGGCCATGGGGTGTAGCTCTCCTTTCATTGGAGGAGCATGCGGCATGCGGTTCGGCACCGAGGTGCTGGCCCTGTCAGCATTGGAACAGATAGCTCAGACTCGTCGCCGGGGCGCTCAATGCGTCTTGCTGTTCTTCTCTTTTTTTCGGCGTGGAAGTCTGCAAGTACGAAGCTTCTACACAGCTTATGCAGGAGCGATGCCCGCTTCGGACCAATGCGCCTTGCCGTACCTATCAGAGAATAAATGTTTGCGAAGAAATGAGTCCTTCTGGAAGTAATCTTGGGCGGGTCTCTATCCAAAGTGGTACCTTGCCCCCCTTGCTTTGGCCTTGTGCCAGCACCGTCGCTTTAGAAGATCATGTCCTAAATGGTGAGGGGATGTGAGGGATCTGCGTGGAGGGATCAAACAATCATCAGCTTGATGACTTTTTTTTGTCGGGTTGTTCCTTGACTGCTTCTTGCTTGCTTGGGAGGGGTGACCCTTGTTTGGCTTGCAAGGGAGCCAACCATGTTCAGGGGTCGAAAACAAATGCCCAAATGGTACCGTAATGGTAGGGGTTCTTAGGGATCTTTCAGCGTAACATCCCCAATCGATACGTGCTATTTTGAGCAGGAGAGTCTCGCGAGTGCATTGCATTGCATTTCTGGAGTATCCCGTCTTACAGCATTCCTTCTTTTTCAGTGGGGGGCAATCTTCCAGGTACCCTCCTTCAAATGCTACGTTAGGAGGAAGGGTATTCGTTTCATTTGTATAGACCCACTTTGTCCTGGAGCTTCAACCAGACCTTTCTAAGGTCCAGCTGCCACGCTGGAGGCAGACAGCCCAAGTGTCGGGTGAGCCCAGTGGGCCGCCGAGGAGTTGGAAGTAGATGGCACCATTCCCTTCATGGCAAGAGGCTGACTAAACCAACATGGGGGAGTCGTGGCATCTTTGCCCCCATTGTAAGAATCCTGAAAGGAGGTCGTGGTTTTGGGTGTGGGCCCTCTTGGTAGGTTCCAAGTTCGTGGCTTTCGTCTGCATATCTTGAACTTTGGTTTCAAGAGCTGTGCATGGAGGGTTCCCAATGCGCCTAAACCAGTGGTCGCGGTACCTAGGCTGACGGAACAACTGGGCCGGGACAGATTTATTTTCAGGAGCACGGGACGAGATCCTACGGGCGGGTTTGCTAATATCGTTATGGCGCGGAGGGTTTGGCATCCGATGCTGAGACTTTTTCAGGGAAGTACAGCACTAATGTTGACCCCGGATTAATAAACCTGTCCCATTATTAGGGGGGTCGTCCCTCCAAAAGTGATGAATCCCCACTAAAAGGGACACCCCCCTATTAATCAACCAGGGGTTTATTAATTTGGGGTCAACATTAAACCAAAAGTAACTTTGAGAAATCAGCTCCGCTGGATCCGCTGTTGGTCAGTCACCTTGTTCGTTGCCTTGCTGAGTCAAGACAGAGCCTCTGCACGCAACGGCGGAGAGAGAGAGATCCACTGTTGGCAAGTGTTCCAGGTTTGACTTGGCACTTTATATTTCCAGCGCTGATACACAGCCGCCCGTTTCTGTGGGAAGCAGAGCGCTGAAGGTGTGCTTCCTGCAGTGGGCCTTCACTCCACACCCGGAGGCGCGGAGGGTCCGGCTTTCGTTTTTGTTCCCTTTTTTTTTTCTCGTTGGTTCACATACTAGACTAGAACATTTCGAGTGAAATCACTCAGTTCACGTTTTCGCAAGATCAGGGATTACTGGGTGAGTGTCTGACACTCAGACTGTGGTGTACTTCGGAGATGAGGGCTGGGCTGTTCAAAGGCAATCCGTAATTACCTGGGGTTACGCAAGGGGTCTCCTTTGTGGCTTTCCTATTGGGATCATGGATTGGCCAACCCTCCGTTTTGAACAGCCCAGTTAGGGGATCATTTCAAGGCCCAAAACTCAGGGATCAAGAAGCCACACCGAGATTCATATATTGTATGATACCGAGATTCATATATTGCATGGTATATAGCTATCTCTTTTTCTCTTTTTCTCTTTCTCTTTTTCTCTTTCTCTTTTTCTCTTTCTCTCTCTCTCTCTTTTTAATTAAACCTACCATGCGTATTATACATAGTTACCCTTCCTCCAACTAACATGGCACCTGTGGGAGGGTACCTGGAAGATCAATCTACTCTCCAAGGGGCCCTCTGTCAGAAGCCATGTTAGTGGAAGGGAAGGTAGATTATCCTTCCAGTAAGTTAATAATATGTTATTTTCCACAGTTGCTTGAGCAAATGGAGGTCTCTCTTTACTTTAGCCTACCATACGTATTGTACATGGTTAGGTGGATTCACTCATTGCTCTAAGCGTGAGTTGATCTGTTTTCGCCTCCCGCGAGGTCTGGTGTGTGCCGTCACCGCCGGCGGCCAACCTGCAGCACGCCATCCAGCTATCCGAGCAGCCTCAGGGCCGAAAGCGATGAGCGATGCGAACGGCCGGGGTCCACATCCCACAAGGGGATGGCCCGATATATATATATATATATATACACATATATTCATATATTCATAGAGAGAGAGAGAGGGCTATGGATCTGTCTATCTTTGGAGATATATAGATTTTTCATATAGATAGAAAGAGAGGGATATAGATCCGTATATATATATGGATATCATGGTTTCTCTTGGTAGGTTAATGCAGTTTGGAAAACCATTAGGCCGCGTGATTCAGCGGGGGATTTAGATGGCCTTGGGCTTAGCTCATGGCTAGTAACCCCAGTCACGGCGGGATTAGGAGTAGGTTGCTATCCACGTCATTTCTGGACCATCCATTCCCTTGACCTGTGCAAAACGTGTAAAAAGACTACGCGGGCTTTGCAGCTGGTGTTTGGGCTCAAAATCTTCGAGCCGCGATGGGCAAGCAAGGCTTTGATGCCCGAACCGCTTTAGCCAATGCCACCCGGCCGAGAAGCGCTGGTTTTGGGCGACAGGGGTTCCCGAAGCTCACAATGGGGCGTGAGACTGTGGATGGGCTACATCCTGCACTACATTGAAACCATGACGACCCCTTATTTGTTGGTATTTACAAGGGAATCATCATTCCAGGGTTTCTTAGGTGGTGCGAAACGGATTTCGTCCATCCACAGTAGCTCCTCAAGCATTCCACAGGTCTTCATACTGGAGTGGAGTCAGAATGGCGAGTGAAAGGACTTCAAGCGAAAAAATCGATGCGGACAGCTTATAGCGCAGAACCTTTGCATTTTACAAGAACCGGGGGGCACCACTTTAAACATAGCGTCAAAACCACGGAGCCCACCAGATCCTCTGAAGAAAGTTGTGGGGAGACGACTATAAACAGACAACACCTTGTGCTTTGGTCAAAGCAACCTTTTCCTTGGGGGTGAGGATGGCCATGGACCTCTTGGATTCCACCCCCTTAAAGATGGAATTGATGGAATTGGGGGGAGCGGGGTGACCCCCCCCCCTGGAATTCCATTTATGGTTCCATTTTCCCTTTTATGGGGTAGAGAAACCCCCCACCCCCCTTCCGCTTGAGGAGGGGGGATTTAGACAAGCATGACAAGATGTCCCATTCAAGCCACGACCATGGCCCACAGATTCGGATTTTCACCGGGGATGTGTCGAGCGGTGAGCTCCCTTCGAATTCGGAGGCATTGAATTCCAGCGGGAAGGCAAAGGCTGCTCCACCCAAGAAGGAGCCAGAAAAGAAAGAAGCGCCGAAGCCTGCGGCGCCAAAGAAGCTGCTTGGCAAAGAGGCCTGCGCTGTGATCCCTTGTTTTCGGTTCGGTTGCGTCTGGGTATGCGAGCCCAATGGCACACGTATGCTTCTCTCAATGTTGCGAATCAACCTAGCAAGGTTTGCTGACATTTCTCGAGGCTCCCAGCCGGGAAAGGCAGGCATCGCCGCATAAGCAACACTTGCCAAAGCCGGCCACGGCATAAAGATCAGAACGCTGCTGCTTTAACAGGGCATCCCATGTTGCCGCTCCAGTGTGAAACTGCAAGCACCGGCTGCAAACCCTAGCCGTGAAACGCTTGATGCCTGATGTACTTGGTTTACGAATCATTGCCAAGGCAAGATACAATAATAGTTGTAACATCACTAAGACCTCGATAGGAACCGGCGGCCTCAACATGTTCAAACACCAGTCAGCGTGGAAACACGAAAAAAACATGGATCTGCTTTTGGACTTTCGGCAAACAAAGAAATCAAACTAGTCGTCCCTCCCCTAGCCCCACACACCCTGCACACCTAGCTGTGTTTTCGGTATGGGCTCGGAGTTGCCGACTTCAGCATCAGAGGGTGAGCCAAGGAAAGCAGCAGAACCTCCTCCACCGCCGAAGACCCGAAAGGAGATTGAGGAGGAGCAGAGGAGATACGTCGAAGAGCCACCTTGGCCGCAGTAAGACGCTTTCCACCTCGAAACCACTGGGTCCCGGGGACACAGCGGGGAATATAATTGATGTATCTTCCTTGAAATCCGCGGGGCTAGTGGAAACCATATGAAACCATCTTAGTAAGGGAGGGCTCCCCAAAGCTAGCCCCTTTATGAGAACCAAGTGGCGTTGGACACTTGTGGATTCTCAAAAGTTTCCTCAGGCTAAGGCGTTTGGCGTTTGCTCTTGAATAGTTCCACTTGCAAACCCACCTCGATTCAGGATTGAGGGAACCTAGTTGATCATCGTTCCGCTTGTGCGTGGAACCTGGCGGATTTGACCTTGTCTTCCATTGTTATGTCCTGGTCTGTAAGGGAATCCAGGCACTGAGGGAGCATAAGCAACTGTTTCTCCTGCTCCATGGCCCAGAGCAGGTCGCCTTTATTTCCATTTCATAGCCCTGGGGGGGGAGTAAACTTTTCTTGTTCTTTATTTGGCCAAAGGGAGGCGTATTGTTAGGCTAGCTTGGTCCAAGCTTCCGTGCGCGCGGCTTCCGTGGACGCGCGCGCGTGCCAGCGAGGAAGGAAGTGCTGAAACAGCAGTTCTTTGCATCAGAGCAGGCTTGGCTGTGCACTGGCAAGTCTTTGCCCGCATCTTTTCCGTGTGCGGTCCGTCCCCAGTACCCTTCTCCTTTTGTCTGTCAGGGTTTCCCGTCCAAATCAAGTACCAAACAAGGGGCAACTGGAAGTCTGGGTTGTTTGCCGACCTATCCAGTTTGGTTGCCCTCCCTAATGGCAGAAGAGTGCCCCGAAGATTGACAGTCACTTGGACCGACCAGCAGCTTCACCATGTTGCCGCTCCAGAGATAACCTAGAAACGGGAGCACGCACATACCAATCTATCTTCTGTCCGTGCTTCTGTCCGTGCCAGTGCTAAACACTCTACAAGATAGTTCTCACTGATCTGGACAAAGCTCGTTAACTCAATTGAGTGATGTTCTTCCAATTTGGTTAAGACCCCTGGAAAAAATAACAATATTTCCAGTCGTGATAGATTCCCTTTAGCACCAACAGGGGGAGAATACAACATATTAAGCAAATCAAAGTGTTTCAAAGTATGTCTTATGGGTAATGACCTCTCCCTCCGGCCCACTGGCTTGCAACTGCGTCTTGGGGGTGCTTCGGGTGGCGCCCTTGTGACCCAAACCCGTTCACCAACCCACAGCAGTCATCAACTTTGGCATGGGGTGTCCATGGACCCCCGAAGTGCAGGCCATGTTACCCATTTGTTATCCTAGCCAGAAATGGGTTGTTCCCCTTTCCGGAAACGACAAAACTGCGGGGCCGGTCTATCACCCCCTGTGGGCAAATAGAAACCTACAGAAAACAAGTTCGCTCGTGATGAGGGCTCTTCTACTGGGGCCAGCAAAGTGACCACGCCTAGGGGCACCCAAAAGGTGATGCTTTTGTTCAAGGTTGTACCTGGCTGACTAGGAAGTGAGCCTCAGATCCCCAGTTGTATTGTACCCTCCCACCCTTTTCACATGGAACCTGACCGGGTGTTGGGTCCCTTTAAAGGGAAAATGGTCCAACCCAGGACCCACCAGGACACATCAGCATGGTTGTTGGGAAACATTTTTGCTTCTTGTGGTTGAGTGGTTGAAATCCCCACTTGACTCCTAAATTTGAATTCTTGCTCCCCTTCTAACGTCAACCAAGTCAGGTTCCACCCCCTTTGGACTTGGCCAGGCGCGGAAAGTTGCAGAGGCCAAGGGCGCGGACCAGGAGGTGACCTATGTAGAAGACAAGGCCGGCCCCAGAAACCCCGGGAGCAGAGTTGGCTCCCCCTTTCGTTCTGTTTTTGTTTTTTGTTTTTATGGGTGGCCTCTTGGTTTTCCAGCAACCAGGCAAACAAGATCTATTTTTTTTGCAGGGGTTCCTGATTCCAGCCAAGTTGCCATGTCCCCGCGACGTTGCCATGCTGCCAGCACCTGAAAGAGGGACAGGGACCCGGTCCTTTCAAGAGGAAATGGATTTTTCAGGTACCTCCCAGGTGCCACTGACAAGGATCCAATTGATGTTGGTACCTCCCGGGTGTCATGGCAACGTGAGAGGAAGGGTACCAAATATGCCCTGCATGCGGCGCGCAAGATAGGGATTTTGGATCCCCAGCATGTATGTTCCTTTTGGTTTCCTTTTTTTCCCCAAGTGAAAGGGGATCATAAATCACTGACTTAGTTTGACCAAGATTATTATCGGTTTCTGGTAGTGGCCCATCGGTCTGGTAAGATTGTGAGGTAATACATAGGAGGTTGTAAGATTGTTGGGCTATAGAGGTTCTCCTCGAAGAGGAGAACCCTCCCAAGGGCGCAAAAAGCTGAAGTAGGCCCATTTGTTATCACGGGTATATACCAGTTTGGACTTGGCGTATTTGCCAAGAAGCCACGTGTATGCCGTTCACATGGGGGGCCTACAAATGCAGAATTGCTCCGAAACTCAAACCGGTGCTTTCACCAGGGTCTGGAGAGCAACCTTGAAGTTGGTTTGCAACATAAGGCTCCCTTTAGCTGTTCCAAAGGATGGCCACTTTATAGAGAACTGGAGTGTTCAGCGTGCTGCTTGGATTCCTGCGGTGGGGTGAAACTTGCCTTTGCCAGGACACGCGCAAGCCCAAAGCTGCCGCTGGTTCGGCAAGGATGCTACAAATGGCTGCGTTTTGTTGTGGTTACCAGGTTTCTGGTGGTGTCAAAAGAAAAAGCCGACCATGTGGGTGCTCAGTTGATCTTTTGGTTTTCTAAAGCTGGTCGGATCGTTTTATAGCGTACCCTTAAACCATGCATGGGGTTCTCCATTTTCGAGACACTCCAGCTTTCCCCACAGGGCAAAAAGGGAAACCAACAGAAACCCATGATTCAAGGCTTACTTGGCACTCGAGTACCCGCAACAAGCATTGAAGCCTTCGGGTAGGTCCAGGAGAACGTGTTAGTTGTCCTCAACCCTAGGCGCGTTCCATCCCAACCTCCCCCAAAGAACTCGCCTTTGGGTTAAGGCGTTGATAGGGCCT